TCGCTCCGTAGTCCTTCGCCTCGGTGGCTTCGAGAATACCCAGGGTAGCAACTGGCGGGGATGGGTGATGAAGACTGATAATAAAAGACATCTTTTAAGAAGTGTTGCTAAGTCCCTCAAGAATCATTTGCATATGACTTGTAAATACTTTTAATTCCTCAGAACTTAAGGCCACATGCAGGAAAAAGAAGGAAGTTATTTGCACACCTGCATTACACATGGTAATCCTTACCTGACTTTTTCTTCATACAACCGTGAGATAAACATCCCCAAGCCAAGGCCCACATGGATTTGAACAGCTTGAGACTCGTCAGCATTTGGTTTTCCAGGTAACCTGTCGGTCAGCATATTCAGCACCTCTTCAATCTTCTCCTTGCATGTTACAATGAAAACTGGCACCAGGAGAGACAAAGCAGTGGCCGCACAAGAACGAGCTATAATACTAGCAGTGTTTTCACCTGAATAGGATTTCTAGGAAAACATAAAAAAGAATTTTTTTTTCTTTTCCACTTGGGAGAGGGAAATAAAATTCCTTTCTAGGTAGTAACACTCAGCACTTTAGGAATTTAATATAAATACCTACATAGCAAACAGCAGCACAGATGTATTGCAATCTGGCAATAAACCATATTTCATGGAATTGCCTATGGTAACTTTTCCATTTGCTTTACCTTTTAAGCACCTTAAGACCACAGTAATTCAGTGTACATAAGGTTGTGAAGTATGAAATTGTAAACAAAGGATGTGGCTAGAATTCAACAGCTAGTCTGCACATAAATACATTAGTCTATTTCAGTTTTCACCTTCCCTGTTAAAATATCCAGTACTGTGATCAGAAAAGCAAACAGAAACGAGCCATGGTGTTCATGTACTTCTGTAATTATAACCTACCAAGAATTTAGTGAGGTGGAAAAAGCACCACCTTAAATGTATCACACCTAGTGTGACAAAGTATATGAGATCTTGCAAGATAACAGTAGAGATGCTTTCTAGAAGAAAGATCCCTTACAAAGGTTTTCAATTCCTTTCCATTTTGAAAGGTAAAATCCATACAGCCACCTCTACTCATAAAGCAAAGGATTGATTGTAAATAACAGCCTAATGTATATTTATCAACTTCCATGTGCAATTCTGAAAAGAAAAAAAAAGCCCATCAGGATGCAAGGCACTCTGCAAGACAGTGATTTCTATTGTATGCCTTAGAATTTTATAAGCATAAGATTTTTTTTTATTTTTTAAACTGAGCAAATTTTAGTAATGAAACATTGTCACTTAGTTCCATCTCAAAAGCACCTTTTTAAAACAGCATTATTTTCAAAGGCAGGAGTCACAGAACAATTAGGTAAGAACTCCTAGTGCCAAGCAAGTCGTTGAATCTCCTTACATTCAACCAGTCTAGCATTTATTTAACACAGTAATTTTCACCTTTTTCACGTTAATGTCTCACTACTGGACTAAACATAGTTTCTGAATGCAGTTAATGAAGTTCTGGTTAGAAAACATTAGAATACATTAGCAGGTTGGTATTTGGCTTTGTAAGATCCAAGTTACCTTCTGCATCCATGACACAAAGAATCTCCAACCTGGTTATTTTGACCACAGACAGTCAAGAGTTACCAACGCCTACTCCTTCAGATCTATACTGAGCTTTCAGTCCACCTCCAGGTCCTACTTAAGAAGTGCCTGACACTTATATGGCTTGAGACTTTCAGGCTGGTTATCACACTGCAAGCACATGTGACAACTTCTACTGGCTCTCAAGAGGTACTGTAAAATAAGAATCACTGGCTCCCTAACTATTAGATTTTGAGAAAGTATGCATTTGAGAGCCCTTGGGAATGGGGTCAGAATCACTCAAGAGTTTGATACTGCAGTTTCAGGACAGTCTGCTCATGTTAGAAGGTTTTGTTTTGTACATACATGCTGAATATCCTAGTTTTGAAGGTTGTTTATTTTTAAGATTGCCTTCATTCCTCTATCCTCACATGTGGTTTTTACCATTTTGGTAATAAAGACTCAAAGGCAAACCCAAGTATAAGCAGAACACACAATGAAAGAAAAAGAACAAAAGCAAGAAAAGTTTTGATTCTCCTGTATTACAATTACTACAGGGTAAACAGAACCAGGAAACTCCACACTAAGTACTCCAGGTATGGAATACAGGTATATTCTCTTGCCTTTAATACCACAACACGTACCTGATAGAACCATGGGAAGACTTGACCTTTAGGGTGATAGCGGCTATTCACAATACTAAAGAGGGTCTCTGTGACCATAGAAATCCAGTGTTTTGTGGGAAGAAAATCAGGTTCAGTCTGCAAAAATCAAACCCAAATATTCATCATTATTTTTTCTTAAATCAGAAATTCCTACCTGAACAGAAGCTCAGCAGCTGATGTTCCAGCTATGATACATCAGGAATGAGGTTATTTTGTCATTCTTATGTACAGTAAGTAGCATGATTTACTTGCCAATGCTGACCCTTCAGATACTACTTTTGATCAGGTACTATTCAGTGAAAGCAAAAATGATGAGAAAACAGATTGGCTGGGTTTCAGCATCCACTAGACCTCTATCTCATCTGCCAAAGCCTGCAAATAAATGTGTTAGTCATTATGTCTGTTGCACGAAGGTGCCTAGATGCTCTTGACTGCTTTTGTAGTTCACACAGCAGCTCCCAGATGGCATTCACTGACCAGGATGAAATTTGAACGTCAAAATGTGAAGTACTTCACATCCACTTCCCACCTCTCCAAACACCTGGTCATATTGCTTCATTATATTCCACTAACAGTAGAGAATCTCTTTCCCAGATTGACTCACCTCAGGCATTCCTTCAGTGTCTGAGGAAAGGCTGCTTTCATATTTGACTACAGCAACTGCAAGACCAGTTAAGGCAAAAATAGAGTTTCCTTTCACCACTGGGCTGTCTCTGGACAGAAAAAGGTGAACAGCTAAGAAGTGTAATAGAAATGCAGGCAACAAAACATTTATCTCAATGAAGGAAAATTATGCTATAGGTGGTCCAGGAGGGAAGGCCTTTGAACCTAGCAACTTTATTGGTCTGACTTCTCGCTCAGCAAAAGTCTATTGCATTTCATCTTCAGGAATTAGAGAAAGAATGGGGGCGAGAAGAGTTTCAGCCTTTTTTCTTGTTTGTCTTTTATATAAACCTAGCACACACAAAGTGGGATAAAAACAGAAGCTTGCTTCCACTATAATGAGGACTGCCACACTGCAGAGCAAGTAGAACTCATAGAAATGCACCAGTTTGTCTTAGCTAGTACCATCTCTACAGAGGGCAACACAAAAAGCTCATCAGAGAATGCTGGACAGGCAACTGCCATTTCATTCCAACAGCATCTGTTCTGGAGATTTAGCAAAGCAGCCATCACTGATATCTCAGCTTAAAAAAAAAAATTCTGAATTACTCCCCTATGCTATGAAAACATTAATATCATGCAATATGACAGGTTTCAAGGAGTACTAACGTCTACCACAGTACAAACTTCTACTTTTAAGGAACTCAAGAAGAAAAATCTGCCACTTACAAACGAGAGAGAGAATGTAACTATTCAGTTTCATAAAAAGATAGATGACGATATTGCAGTCATTCCCAGAAAAACATATTGCTATATAATCCTGTTGAAATTCTATTACTTGTTTTACAACAGCAGCTGAAAAATACAACTGTACTACACCACTTACAGTCTTACACCAGACCAATACACAGTGTGCTACACTTCTTTGCATCAGTTTTCCATTTCTAAAAACTTCCTCAACTGTTGCTGTAAAAATACACCTACACTGCAAAATTAGGCATTTGTTCCAGATCCAAGTATCTCATTTTCACAATAAAAATACTTTCTGGATTTCTGGTTTGCTTTTTAAAATAAGACACACAGGTCTTAGTGGAATGTCATAGACATCTCCTGTTTGGAACACTGAAACTATCTCCTTCCAGACAAGACATACCTACAAATAATTACAACTAGGTGCTTAATTAAGTTATCTGAAATCTCCCCACATCTCTTGCCTTAAATAATTTCCTAATCTATGTATAGAACCTTTGTTGTTGTTGATTATCAACTTCTAAAAGGTTACATTTCATGATGTACCTCACAGTACAGGAGGAAAAAAAGCAGTGTCTTACTCTTTATTGAAAATACAGGGAAAACCCCCAGTATTCTCTTAAAAGTCAGTAAACACAGGAAGTTCTAAAGATGTGATCTATGCACAGGAAATCTACCTGCTGTTACCTAAAGGAAATTCACTACTCCCTTCCAAACTACACAATGCTTCTACTGCAACCAGTTTTGCTAATGAACTTCTGTAACTAAAATAATAATTTGAATTCTGAGACACAGAATAGGATATATTGAAAGTTTATTATTTTGTTCCTGCTTCATTTATCTCTTTCTACCACCTTACCTTAACACAGGTATTTATTGAGTAGCTAAAATATCAATCAGATCTTCCAATTTCATCTCCCTTTAACTGACCTCTTCAAGATAGACCGACATGCAATGAAATGGAACAGCTGGGAATATTTTAAATATCTGAACAATGATATGTTAAAAAAGGAAGAGTTCGAACATTTATGGGAAGTCTTAATTAAAATCGCCAGAACTCTCAACTTGTGTATTTCAAACTAGTCTTTTATACATTACAAGAATATTAATGTCTGTGAGATTTCACTGTAATTCTTTCACTGATTACATCTTTATGATTTAAGATTTTCTAACTACTTGTTCCTATGAGGATTCACCATTTCTGAAACTTTTGCTTAACCTGGTGCAAGTGGCCAAGTTCAGGTGAAACAAGGGCAAAGCATAATAGGAAGCTAGCTGCCAGTGGAGAGCGAAAGGAAGAAGTCAAAGCACTTTTAGCAGCCTGTGAAGGAAGGTTAAGATACTTATTGCTGCCTGAAAGCTAAGTGCTAATTCTAATAGGAAATGAACAAGTCTGTCACAATCTAAAAACATCCAATTTCCTGCCTTTGGGGGCATCTGGGCACAAGAAAGACACCTTAAGAGAAAGCGGGGCAGTTTTGAAGAGCCTGTGCTCCACTAAAGACCAGCCACCTTTTAGTTAAATGAAGCTACTTGAGGCAAACATTCTGATAGTTTAAAAAAAGAATAGACTAACGGTGCATATAGCACTACCCACGCTTTACTCAAAACATTAGGCATCAGCCTTTCTAATAGACACAGTCTGTGATAAAAATCTCAAAGCACAAGGTGGGGAAGAGTTCCTTTCCCAAACAGCAGTCACGTGAAATCATTAAATTGGCAGATAACCACATGCAGAAGATAGCATCTTACATCTCTGCCACAAAAGAGACCTCATTCTCATCTGTAATATATTAGCAGTTCTTACTTGGAAGCACCTTTGATGACATCTGTCAACATATCTCTGACCCTGCAACAGAAACAGAAAGAATTTACACTACTTTCATTATACTATAGCATGAACTCAGCTAGTTTTCCCTTATGCCTTACTCGTGCTCATTCTAGGTTAACAATTATCTCATCTAGCTGTCAGAAAACTTAGCACAAATTAATCATTAAAGCATTAAAACTCTAAAAATGCTTATGTACCACCCAACATTTCTTCATGCTCATATGCACTACCAAAGTTTTATGAAGGGCTCTCATCTGACTTCACACCACTTCTTGTAAAATGCAAGTTCATACAATAGCCATAAATCTGTTCTTTGAGCCGTTACACATAAGTTTCCTGATCACTGTGCTCTGTCTTAGCATGATAACATGAGAATGTTCTACAATGGACAACCATAAGATTTTATCCAACACTTACTATACTCCTGGAAACCACTATGGGCAGTTATGCTATTAGGCAGTGTAATAACCTGAATCCATTTAAATGAAAGCCATAAGGAATAGTTACAATTTCTTACACATTACTGTAGTTGATTTATAATAGGCTAATTGTCTGCATTTGTATAGTTTTGCATTCATATCAAGACAGAATCAGAGATGCAGTGATTTTTGTAAATTGCCAGGTTTGGGTGAGGAAAGAGATCCTCTATGCTACAGCATACAGTACCATCCTGGCCATGAGTGTAAATCCTACAGAGAAAGATAGAATCCAATCACAGTTCCACAACACACAATTAGAAGACTACACGTGCATGCCTCAAAATAGGGCCAGATGTTATAAGATCAAGTTGTACTTGGGCTTTAAAAGAAACCTGCTCAGGCTTTCTTCATAACCACACTGTTTTTGCACACAGTTTCAAATCCACCTACAGTTGAAACACACCAACTTGGCAAATACCAGTGCAAAATTGCACAGTACTTATACAATAAAGCATTAACACTGAAGTTTGTATCAAACTGTCCACAATCAGGTTAAACCCAATGGGCGACAAAAATGCTTAATGGGTACTGAAGTTAGAGCCCTGAAGCACCAAGCAATTACGGGGTAACAGGAAAAGGCTTGAAAATTAATAGTGGGCTCCCAGTTCACTTACTGTTTTGATTTCTCCATTGTTAAAGGGAATGCTGTGCATTTTTGACATAGCTTATGTTAACACTATTTAGGAAATAGAGCAGAAATTGATTCAGGAAAAATCTACAAAAGCAGTATTGCTATAGGTATTCTTCTCACCTGGAAAATGTTTTCTCTTTATACCCTATCAACAAAGGGATTGGGCAGAGAACAACAGAAAATTGTGCCACTACTACATGAAGAATCTCTTCTGCAATACCGTATCATTCCGGATCTTACTCTGAAACCCTCTAATCTAGACTTAGCTAGAATAAAACAACAGACACAAATTTTGTATTCCTGTTGAGTGGGACTTAGTAACACCTTTCTGACTGAAATGGGCAAAGGGCATTTTGGTTTTGCTTACATACTTCATTCCCAAAGCACTTATGAAAAACCACAGACACTGATATTTATACTGTCCATGGATATGCAGTTCTTTCTCTCCATGAAGGCTCCTACTTCCCACCTTGTCCCCCTGGCAATGCACATACATGGCTAAATCCTGACAGACTGAGACACTCCTCAGCTGACTGAAACAGCAGTAGTTGAGGATATGGATCAGACTGTGCACCATGTGCTTCGTTTTAAACAACACACTCAGGCTAAACATTGCCAACTTACCATACAAACTGAGGCATGTTTCAGTTCATGACAACATACGTCATCCCATGGCTTACATTTCTTTCATCAAGCCATTCTGAGTGATGTGGCTCACTTAGTCTCTACAAGTAAGTTTTGCTCTTTACACAATCCTTCTGTACTCGGTGCTGGTGAGACTGCACCTTAAATACTTGTGTTCACTTTTGGGCCCCTCACTACAAGAAGGATGCTGAGGTGCTCGAGTGTGTCCAAAGAAGGGTAACAAAGCTGATGAGGGGTCTGGAGCACAAGTCTTATAAGGAGCAGCTGAGGGAACTGGGCTTGTTTAGTCTGGAGAAGAGGAAGCTGAGGGGAGACCTTATTCCTCCTGAAAAGGGTTGTGGCGACGTGGGTTTTGGTCTCTTCTCCCAAGTAACTAGTGATAGGACAAGAGGAAATGGCCTCAAGTTGCGCCAGGGGAGGTTTAGATTGGATATTAGGAAAAATTTCTTCACTGAGAGAGTGGTCAAGCATTGGAACAGGCTTCCCAGGCAGATGGTGGAGTCACCATCTCTGTAAGTATTCAAAAAGCGTGTGGATGGGGGGCTTCAGGACATGGTATAGGGGACATGGTGGCGTTGGGCTGATGGTTGGACCTGATGATCTTGAAGGTCCTTTCCAACCTTAGTGATCCTGTGATTTGTGATGATTTAACATCACAGAAAATACAATTTTCCATTCCATTCCATTTGCCCACTCTACAAAGTTTCAGACACTGTAGAGAAGGTACCTGTAAACCCGTGCATATGGGATTCTTACGATTACCCAGTAGTCTCCTTCTTCCCAGCCCCCCAACTTCCTCATTCTATCTGGTAGTTGTTTTTTTTCATTAGTCCCTATACAGTCTTTAAACTTGCAAAACTAAAGGCTTTGAAGCCTTAACCTCCTCTACACCCTCATTTGCCATTACAAGTGATCAAGAGCAGACAGTTTACTTCCTTACCAGAGCCAGGCTGTAAATTGTTTGTACTGCACCTCTTCAGGATCCTCTTTTCCATGTTTTAACTGCATCTCCAGCTCTGCCTGCCTCCCCTGCAGAATTACAGAATTGGATCAGAAGTGGATCTTACATGGCCAATGATCACAAGATTTCTTCAGAGAACACACAGGTAACGGATATAGCCTTTCACTTGAGGGCTACTTCATAAGTGAACTTGACTGCTTTTCATATAGATTCCAATGTAATACACCATATATTAAGAATTCATAATTTTTTATTCTGAGTGAAAAAAACAAGATACAGATGGCACAAACGGCCACAGATGCTGAGACATCTCTCATAGTCCATACAAAGAGATAAGTTCCCTTGGGAAGGAATACAACAAGCAAGGAATGAGATTTAAAAGCCTACTAGCTAAAATAGATTCTAAAAGCAAAACATCACTTTCTTGATTCACTACTTAAAGCAGAATTCCTCATCCTTTTCCCTTCTATGACCCCAACCTCCCTGTGACCTCCTACAACAGTTCTTCCTGTACCTTAAAGGAGATGATATGGATTCTGGCCTCTAACAATTGTTATCTAAACATATTAAGCAGCTTTGCTTTAATGTTCAGTCTCCAAGAGTGAGACAACTACATCCCACCTTGTTTCTGTCAGTTACTGCTCCTTAGTAGGTTATTAAGCCTTAGGCTCATAAGCTGTGTTTTTCAGGTATTGAACACTTGTAGTTTGGGTGTGCATAAAAACCTGAGAATACAAGACTCAATCCTGTCAATCCAGGTGTCACTCAAAAGGCGACTCTCCACAGAGATTAATGGAGCATACACAACACACTGACTAAAACTATGCAAAAACCTATTGCAATTTCCCCAAACACATAAAAATTGGCATTAAGTTCTGTACTAAATCAAGACCTGTACAATCATCATGATGAGGTTGATTTCAATCTAAAAAAGAAAGTGAATAAACAAATTGGTAGAAGTGTTTAAGCATGTAAATAGACATAATAAAAATCAAGAGCACTTTCAGGTGTCCAAAAGGGGAAAAAAAAAAAATCCTCAAACACGCATTTTGGTGAACTGCCCTCTGTGAACATCTGCCTCCAAAATGTAGAAATGATTACTAACTGTTCAGAAACACTGTGCTATGTACTATCCAGACTACTCACCTTATACTGTAGTCTCTTTTGGCCATCTCAGATGAAATGGACTATAGAACCGTAAGGAGTAAGCAAAGATACTAGGTCTCCAGTGAGGGACTTCAGGAGCAACAAAAATAGGCTCTATTGCCCTGTAAGATGGCATGAAATCCTAGAGAGGCTTTCAGAAACAAGTCTGATAAATGCCCAGCTTCTCACAAAATCTTGCCTCAAAGGGGAAGCAAAACAGGAAAGTAATTAAATGCGAGCAACAATGGCCCCCTCTGTAGTTACTACCTAAAATTACAATTTGAATAGCTGCTGCCTGCTTTGTAGTGGGGCTGGCTTGGCTTACAATCTGGTATTTTCCTCATGGCAGACATAAAATTTGTTTTGAAAACGTTACAGAAAACATATGTTTTGCTGCACAGCAAAACAAAGTACAGTCAAAGCTTCTAGAATTCACTCAGCAACCTGAGCTGCTCAAGCTGAAAACAGCTGATATGGCCTGGAAATACAAAAAATAAGTCCTTCTAGTTGCATGAAGAGAGCTTTCTAGAAGGCTACTACTTCTCTTTGTGCTACTATTTGTTAAAAGTTTTTTAGGTAATTTTCCTGTTGAAAAACCAAATGACACTACATTGATGTAGATATCAGGTCAGCTAACCTAAAGAACGAGAGGTTGAAAGATATTTCCTAATCATTAGATAGGGTTGAAAAATCAAAAGATGAGTCCCTCAAAGTGTGACACCATTACATGCTGGTTAAGAGAAGTTTTATTTTAATGAATAATTCCTTGATAGGTTCTGTCTCCTTTGTGATACTATTATCACAAAATTCCTACCCAAAATAGTATGTTAGCGCTGTAGCTAAAATTTCATATTCTAAAATTTCTAAGAATGGATACATTCTGCAACTTGACAGAGGAACAAGACTGCAAGAACCTGTACTGCAAGCAGAAGTTATACTTCTACAAAGTATCCCAGAATGTGCTGCCATTAACTGAAGACTCATTTTTATTTCCTTTTCATAAATTTTATTATTAAACACCTCACGCTTTGTTTTCAAATTATTATAATTTACATGGATAATCTTGTTGGTAAAAATAAAACTCATACCACCTGAATAAGCATTAGTGTGCACAACATTATGTACCTCGAAATTACCTGCAGGACTGCACTGTAGGCTCGACTCATAAATCCTAACCAGGACTGTGGCAGCAGTATGGAGCGGTGCCATTCAGAAGGTTGAATGTTAACCTGTGCAATACACCAGAAAGAGTAGAAGCAGTTACATTACGTCTAACATATGCAGAATGTATATTCTCCAACCTGCGATTTGCAGACAATCATTTGCTCACATCCATAGAACATCACACATGGCTGTAGAAGACTAAAATTATAAGGTACTTTGTTATCCTTTCTGTTTTTTCCCACACCAAGTTACTTTCAACCTCGTTACACACATCGGACAAAACTGGTTGCTTCAGGTCATCCAATACATAATTGATCCCAGAGAGAGAGCAGTGGCATTATATGTGGCAATAAGCACAACACTTAGTAGCACAGGTAGACAAATATACATACATAACAAAGATGTTAGTGCAGTTTATCTTTGCCATAGTTTTTGTAAATCTTAGATGCTTCTAGAAGCTTTAAATAGTTACACAAAATAAATACAAAGTAGATGACTATCTAAATACAGGGGAGATTATTCAAAAGTAGTTAGTATCCATGACTGGGGTATATATAACTACATTCAAGTACATAATTCAAACTTCCTTTAAGGAAAGGAGTTGTTAAAAAAAAAAGGAATCACAAAGTTTCTTTCTAGGAAGCACCAGTGAAGAACTAACTGGATGAAAACAACACTACCTCAAAGATAGTTTAAAGAAATATGCAACAGCTCTCCCTCCCTGCCTTCAAATCTCACAGGGGTATGACAGCCTCAACTTCACAACAAAAGAATGTCAGCTACACAATCTGATGTATGTACACAAACTTTCCTCAGGACCTCAAGGTTGAACTTTTCAGTAAGCACCACAGCAAACTAACTCAAAGGCTTTTTCAGAGCATATTGAAAAACAAAAATGAAGTCAACCGATCTCAGGAATAAGCCATTTTCTAGCCCTTGGTGGCGTAACGAAGTAATTACAGGGCTAAGCTCAACAGAATGGGTCACAAACTGAAGGCCACCAAGAAAATGTTTCCAGACATCAGAGTCCTACATGATATATGTACCTCTTTGCCAGCAATTTGCATGTTATGCAATTTATAAATCAAAATATATTAATTCACAAAAAATGTGTATCACAACTAATTAGAAGAGCCTCTATTTCCCTCTCCCCATGACAGTTTTAATTGCAGCAACATTTTATTAAAGATAGGAGTTCAGGTATCCTTTCCTTTTAAATTGCTGTGTTTTCAAATCCACAAACAACATAAGATCCGTAATTAAAATGATGGGTGTGCTTTGCTATATCTCATCATATTCCATGGTGGGCATACAGAATTGATTTTTCTTGCAACTGTCCAATTATTTCTACTGTTTGCGTCTACCAAAAAGATGAAAAAATGTCATCACAGCCATTTGGACTCCACTGGAAATAAGTTAACAGTTTCCAGGGTAATCAGTTTTTAATAAAGGAAAGGCAAACATGTCAGGTTGAGGTAAGATGAGGTGTATCTCAGTATCCTGTTTAAGGCGTATGCTTTCTATTTCTAAATTAAAACAACATGCCAGACTCCCTGAATTATGGAAAAACCCTGTGAGCTCTGATCAAAAATTGTGCAAAGCCCACCTAGAGTAACTAGTGTTGCCAGACTTAACCCCACCTAGAGTAACTAGTGTTGCCAGGCTTAACCCCAGAAGGTTATTATCTTTCCTTTTTATTCCTCATATTTTGTTTTTTATGGAGCCTAGTCACTGTTAACATGCAAGACACTCCACGCCTCAAGGTATGCAAACACCTCCTTTCTCCATCATGTGCTTCCTTGGCCTCCTCTGAACTGAATGGTTAACTAAGATAAACAACGGAACTCTCCTTGTCTGTTAATTATCTTGCTAACTCTTCCTGCTTCATCTCCTCTATTTTATGACCATCATGATCTATGTAAAGAGTCAATATTCTTTCTTTACATGGATTTTGTAACAAAAAACAAAGGACCATTCTAAAGCTTCATGTCCGCTGTCAGTGGTGAACTTGAAACAGTTTTGAGTAAGTACTCATACATCTATACAAATATATCCTGCAGAAAAAAAGAAATCTCATCTTTAAATGACTCAATAACATTAGTCCTTCCTTTATAGCCAAACTTTTATTTGCACATCTCCCTCATCTCTGTTCATCAATTCCTCCAAGAAGTTGATGAGCAGTCAAGGCTCCAGTCAGAATTTTGCCTTAGGTTCCCAAGAAATGTGCAGAAACTCCAGTCTTCCCCCTTGCCTCTACTCCGAAACTATTTTAGACTTGTGCATTTAGGTTTGCTTGGTGTCATGATGACCTATGAAATTCACGATGTAATGCACACTTGCGCACCAGAGCAAAGGCTGGCCTTCAAAACACTTCAGGTGCTCACGCAGAAAATGCAAAGTTTTAGGTATATTGTGGCATTTAAAGCAACTAGACAACATAATCTAATCAGGAACATATTATTAGCACCCTGCACATCTTATCTAAAATTTCCAGATGTGCTTGACAATCAGCAGAACTGCTGAGCAGCTTTTGATTAGTTAACTTCCTTCATGGCAGTAAACATTTGGGAGATATGTGGAATGAGAGGAAGACATGAGGGAACAGAACATCTTCACATAACAAAGAACACTCAGAATTCTACGACTGAAAGTGACTGGACATAGTGCTGAAGATTGTCACATAAGCCATGCTGATACTTGCTGTTTCAGTACAGGAAAGCAGCAGTCTTTACTCTTCCTCTATCACTGGATACAC